GAATAGAAGAGAGAGAGAGAGAGAGAGAGAGAGAGAGAGAGAGAGAGAGAGAGAGCTCCACGAGATAGTTGCTTGAGCTGTTGAGACATAGCTCTCGGCGGTCAGACACTTGGGGGAGACAGAATGAACAGATAACTCGTCCAGCTCTTCCGTCTGTCTCTTCTGGGCGACACAACAGACAGACGCAGACAGACGAACAGACACGCCACGACAGACCGGCAGACAAGGAGGCAAGGGAAAGACAGATAGACAAACTGATAGCCGAGAAGGCGTAGACAAGATAGGATAAGGGCTGCAATAATCTGACGCTATGCTCTGCACTCTGTCCAGATAGCGGAAACATTGGAGAGAATTGCTCTTGTCAGCTTGTTTTCTTTCTTTAATTCTTTCTTTCTGTCGTTCTTTCTTATTTTTTTCTTTCTTGCCTTCTGCAGTCCTTTTTTCTCCTTTGTTGCTGCCGTTATTGTGGTGGTGGTGGTGGTTTTCGTTGTTTCTTTCCTTAACCTTATTCTTTTTCTCAGGCTTTACTTAAAGCGACATTCGCTAATAGAGATTTGTTATGCTATATTTTCATAAATTAAACTTCAGTACTATTGCTTATTTATTGGGTTAAACGAATATTGGGATCAACCCCCACCCCACCCCCCTTCCCAAATGTCTTTGAAACTTCTAGGAGAACTTAAAGAGACACCGATAGCTGAAACTTCATAAACTACATCAAAGTAATAAAACGTTGTATTATTATTATCATTATTTTATCACGCGCCAACACTACAATGGCGTATGTGATGTAGCGGTGAGGCGCTTTAAAGTATCACTCAGAAGACGTGGGTTCGATTCCCAAGAGGGGAGAATATTAATAATTGATATCGGTCTTTCTGCTAGAGCGTTGTATCCCTTTCATCCTTGATTGGCCCTGATGAGCAGAGTCGCAACCCGCCTCCTAAATGGTCTAAATTGTGGAGGTGGTGAAGTAAAAACGATTGCATAAATAGAAAGATAATGAGAAACTGGACATATTAACACTACCATACCAATGCCAACATTGCCACCACCAACAACAACGATAGCAACATTTACACGCTCAAAAACGTTACCAAATCAAGACAACCCCCTCTCCCATTTTTCTTTTTAAAAAAGGACAGACTTCCCAGTAAAAGAAAAACAGAAGAAAAAAAAAGAAATCAACCCTGAGTGTTCATATGTTCACGCTCTCCATCCCACTCCCTCTTTCCTCCTCCATCTAAACCTGAGAACTATCTGGAAAAGAGCAATCCATTGAGATAAAGCTAACGAGACCACGAAATGGGACAAGACAGATCCCAAATACGCCAGACGCCATGAGCACATTGCGCTCAGTGAGGGGCAAAAAATGATCTCGACGGGAGGGAGGGAGCACTCAATCTTGGTGGGCGGCTTTTTTTTTTTCCTTTCGCTCCTATTTTCCTTTTAGCCTAGTGTGTGTGTGTGTGTGTGTGTGTGTGTGTGTGTGTGTGT